GGTTTTTTTTTTGCTTAAATTTAAGCAGCTTTATTGAGGCATAATTACTGTACAATGAATAGCATGTAAATAAGTATATAATCAGAAAAGGTCTGACAAATGTATACATAGAATCATCAAAATTATGACCATATCTGTTGAGGCATGGTGGTTCACACCTATAATCCTAACACTTTAGTAGGAGTCTGAGTCGTGAGGATTGGTTGAGGCCAGAAGTTTGAGACCAGTCTGAGAAACACAGTGAGAGCCTGTCTCTACAAAAACATAAAAAAAATTAGCTGGGCACAGTGGCATACACCTACAGTCCAGCAACTGGGACTTAGGTAGGAGGATTGCTTGAGCCCAGAAGTTAGAGACTGCGTTGAACTATGATCATGCCACTGCACTCCAGCCTGGGTGAGAAACTTAAAAACAACGCTCTTCTTCTCCCTTCTCAAACAATCATTGATCACTTTTTCCTAGATTAGTTTGCATTTTCTAGAGTTTTATATAAATGGAGTTATATACTCTTTTCTTGGTCTGGCTTCTTTCACATCACTTAATTCTTTTCAGATTTATCCAAGTTGTTAGTATCCATAGTTTGCTTTTTTCTTGCTGAGTAGCATCCATTATATGGCTATACTGCGATTTGTTTAACTGGTTTGTTGGTGGACATTTGGATTGTTTCCAGTTTTTGACTATTACGAATAAGGCTTCTATGAACATCGTGTATAAGCCCTTTATGGATATACATTTCCTTTCCCTTGGAATTTCCAATTCCACCCAGGAGTGGAATCATATGGTAGAAGTATATTTAACTTTTAAAGAAACTGCCAAACTATTTTCAAAAGTGATTGTACCATTTTACATTCATACCCCGAGTGTGTGAGCTCCCTATATCTTCACTTGATACTTTGTATGATTAATCTTTCAAGTTGTAGCAATTCTAATAGTTGTATACTAGTGTTTGATTGTGGTTTTAAGTCATATTTCCCTCATGAGTAAAGATGTTGAACATCTTTACATGTGTTGATTTACTATCGATATTTTTTTGTTGGTGGTGCATCTATTCAAATCTTTAGTTCATTTTTAAAATTTGGCAGTATGTTTTCTTAATTGTTGCGTTCTGATCATCCTCTACATATTTTAGATGCAAGTCCTTTATCAGGTCTTTTCTCCCAGTGTCTGGATTGTTTCTTCATTCTCTTGCCAGTGTCTTTTTGAGGACCAGAAGTTTTAAATTTTGGTAACATTAAATTTATCCATGTTTTTCTTATGCATTATATTTTTGGTGTCTATTAAGAAATCTTGGCCTAATCTAAAG